GATCAGCTTTTTTGCAAACAGCTTCAGTTTGGAGCTCGAAGGTGAGTTTGTCATCGATCTCCTCTGTGTCTTTCACTTTTGTTTTCAGCCTCTTTTTTTTCACGTCACTGAATCATTCAGAAATGATTTTGTTCATTTTTTTGGGTTATCACTTACAAAAAAAAAAAACGACGGTTACATTTAGTTCCCCTGCTTTCTGGGACGCATTTAGGACCAGAGGAAGTTGGGAAAACGATATCTGTACTTTTGAAGTGTCACATAAATATTTAAAGATACTGAGAGTATCTTTAAAAGGATTCAGGTTGTGAATTATCTGCAGAAGACACGACTTATGCATCGTGATGTTCCCCCAGAAAGTAAACCTTTTGAGCCGTGTGCTCTGTATGTAAGAAGGAAGGAATTGACGCATATCGCTGTTATATCGTTGTTTTTTATTTTACTATTATATCTTTTTATTATTATTTTTCTTTAGTATTCTTAAATTATTTTTGAGTTATTTTTTGTTTGTTTTTGTTTTGCTTGTCTTTTCTTTTTCTTCCATGGTATGGTATGTTACTGTAATTTATGTGTCTATGTGTGTGTGCATGAAGTTGGAGAACTAACAAAACACTGAACTTGTAATATGTTCCTTTAGATCTGTTTTGTGCATCGTCCCAGTTATCCAAACTAAAACGTCTCTCCTCCTGATCTCAGGCTAACGAAGTGGAGGAGAATCTGATGAAGACGAAGGAGGAGCTGCTCATCGTGAAGAGCTCCTCGATCGCACCTCCTGCCGCACCTCCTGCCGCACCTCCTGCTCCTGAAGCCTCCTCCTCCTCCTCCTCCTCTTCTTCCTCGGACGAAGAGAGCGACCACGAGCACAGCGAGGAGAACAGCACCTACAGCGCCGAGCTGCCCACGCAGGACTTCAACGACCACCGCATGGAGGAGGAACGAGTCACAGAGGCGGAGAAGAACGAACGCCTGCAGAGACAGCTGCTGGTGAGTTCAGGGTCCCGGGAAACACAACGCACAGAAAACCATCCTTCTTCTGCCATGTTTGTTGTAGTTTTTCTACTTTGTATTTACACCTGAACTACAAAGAGTGCATGTAACTGTGTCTGTGGCTCAGTTGGTAGAGTCGACCCCTCTCAACCGGGAGGTCAAGGGTTCAATTCCCAGCTGAGCAACATGTCTGATGCTCCCCCCCCACATTGCTCCCTCTGCTTCGGTGGCGGTGTATGAATGGATTAGTGTTGTGCTTACTCTCTGATGTAAAAGCGTCTGCTAAGTGAATTGTAACATGTATTTAATATGTGATGATTTACAAGTTAAAATAAATTTGGACCATAGTCTGTATAAAATATGGACGTTGTTCCAGAGACGTCACCCTTTGCTTCTGGAGAGCCTTTATGAAGCCCAATGATGGCGGACGCCATATTTAAAATGCTCTCTTAAGTTAACTTTCAATCAGTCAAGAATCAGAAGAGAGGTGAAGCTCTTATTTGGATAAACAGTAGAGCTCATATTACACATCTGTACTTAGAGAGAATCCTGTAGCACAGAAGCAGAATATCGTACATGATGTAGAGCAGTGGTTCCCGAAGTGGGGGTCGCGAGATGCCTTCCAAAAACGGTCTCTCGCATCATTATTTTGGGGGTAAAAGTTTGGGAACCCCTGGTCTAGAGGACTCATTTCTTCTTGGGGCCGCACGTCTGCTCAGAATCTTAAAATGTGTTCAGTTATCTGAGGCCTGAAGGGAAACTTCTCCATCTGGCCTGCAGCATTTCATACAAATCACACAAAGACAAATTCATCATAGACCAGAATGCACTGCAGCCACCAGACAGATTGTGTTGTGATGAAACAACGCTTGATTCTTCTGGATGGCTAAAAAACACCTGACCTCCAGCTGAGAGACGAGCGAGATCGGTCTCCGGAAGTCATTTTGGGAAACTTCCTGCAGAGCTATCGGAGCAGATAAATGAAGAGCTCAGGAAGTGTTGAGATGTGCATTAGAGCATCACAGTGTGTTTAATAACGTGTCCCGTTCCTCCGCAGGCCCTGAGCTCAGAGCTGGCAGACGCCCAACAAGACAGTAAGAAGACCCAGATGGACCTTCTCCACGCCGAGAACGTCCGAGCCGGCCGCGACAAGTACAAGACCCTGCGTCAGATCCGCATGGGCAACACCAAGCAGAGGATCGACGAGTTCGAGGCGTTGTAAGAAAAAACCTCGGAGGAGCGATGACCCCTCCCTCGGTTACCTCGTGGAGGCCATGTTTTTACTTTTCAGTGTGATGTAACAGCGGTGCCGCCTGATCTTAAAGACCCAGAAGAAACATGTGAAAGTACCTCATGAGATTTGTTTTATTGGTTTTAACTTTAAGCTTTAAAAGCACTATTTTATTTTTTGTTTTTATTTGTAGCACTCAAACATCTCCAACGTGCTGTTGGTCCCATTAAAGCATTCAAATAAAGCAGAAAGAATGTCGTGTTTCTGCTCTGATGTAAAACCAAAGCTGCTGAATTTATTACAAACAGGTTTTTACTTCTAACCAGACAAAACATGTGTGTGAAGTTTCTTGTTCTAAATCCACTCTGATCCTGTATTTGATCATGTCTATAAACCCCTCTATTTCAGCCCTGCTCAGAACAGGCTGTTTCTGTGTCTGTACCTTTAAATATGTAAATGAGCTGTGTCTGACCACGCCCCCTCTCTGGAAGTGCTTGGGTGTACTCGGTGCTTTCTCTCTCCATGTCCTATTGTTTACGGTGAGAAGGCAGACTCAGAGGGCAGAACAAACACCTAGCTGTGGGAGTGTCACCCACCTGGGGGAGGGGCTACTGCCCTTTGTGATGTCATGAAGGGAAAATCTCCAAACGGCCTGTTTGAGCACACATTTTCTACTGTACATGACACATTTTGCAAAACCAAACACACATGCACAAACAGGAACTGTGAACATGCATTAATGGAGAGATGACAGAGTGAGGCTGCAACACGGGGAGCGTGCCAGAGGTGGTGACGGTTCGGTGCCTTGCTCAAGGGCACATATGCAGCTCTCAGGAAGTGATCTGGACCCTCTCCAACTTCTATACTTTTGTCCAACCAGGAATTGAACCGGTGACCCTCCAGTTCCATACCCAAGTCCTTACAGCAGTAATCATTAACTGGAGACCCAAGGGCCAAATCCGGCCCCTCAAAGCTTCCCATCCGGCCCTAAAAATACAAATCAACTCAGGTGATTAAACGATAAACATACAAATAAAATCACAAGGCTGAAATACTCGCATTGAGTTAATGGGAGAAATTACATTTCCCCTCTGACACCAACTTCTTCAGATTCAGACTTTTTTTTATTGTCCCACAAGGGAAATTCACGTCGCAACAGGAGCAGACAGAAGACAAGAAACACAAGGACAACATCACCATGAAACATAAACCAAAACTTTTTTTTTTTTTAAATCAAACAACACAGCAAAATATAAAACCAAATAAAAGCAGCGCAATAAAATCAGTCAAGAGCCCGCACCATAATGGAAATTCAGGTTATTAAAGTGCAAAGTGGAGGTGTGCAAATGTGCAATTCAAGTGCAAAAAGAGCAACAAATAGCTAATTGTTGTTTAACATATTAATTGCACTTTGTAAAAAAGAGACCTGGAGTCTTTTAGTCTTCCTCACAGGAGCTCTAAAATGACGACCTGAGGGTCAAAGGTCAAACTCACTGAAGTGGGTAATCTGGGATCACAAGTATGGCCCTAGCTTTCCTCAGGAACGGCTGATTATACGAGGTCAGAAGGCCAACCTGACATTGGGCTTGAGAACTGTCAGCTTATGTGCAAGCATATTTTAAAGCCCCCCCCCCCATCAAGAAAAAGCTGGTCCTTGTACACATGTAGTTGATAATAATAATAATAATAATAATAATATCTTTATTCATATAGCACCTTTAAAAACAAATGTTGACAAAGTGCTGTGACAGACAAAGCAAATACAGAAAAACAACAACAGAACAGAGATCAACAGAGAGGGTAAAATTATATAAATGCAAATAACAGGAATAATATTCAACAGGCAGGTATGGAGAGGCAGTTCAATACAATGAAGGAGAATGAGTTTAAAATCAACCAGGAGAGAACAATATTAAAACTGAAGGAGAGTGGGACGACATCACATCACAGGCTGTAAACACAGAATGAAGAGAAAAAGAAGAGATAAACAGGAGATCGGTTAAATGAATAAAGAAACAGAGTTAAATGATAAGAGGAGTAGGAATTTAAAAAGACTGAGAACAGTAAAATGAATACAGGAAGGGAAACATTTAAAGACTAAAACATTTAAAGAAGAGAAAGATAAAAAGGGTTAAAAGCAATAAAAGTGAATAAAAGGAAGGGATAGATCTTTAAAGGAGAAATCACATAAAAGTAAGTTCATAAAAGTGATGACCTCTGACCTACAGACTGAGCCACTGCCGGAATGCATAACAAAGAAAAACACTCATTTACTCTCTTTTTGTTTCAAACAAGTTACAGGACACATCAGTAAGTTATGTAGAAACATTTTTACTTTAAAATGTGTCCCCATGTTCCTTTTGTTGCCACAAGACAAAGAGAAAATCTCTGATGCATTATTTGCACTGTCTGAATCCTCTGGTTGCACATGTGGAGCTCAGGCTGATCTAGAAGAAGAAGTGGGGTTTACATGGAGACCACGTACACCTGCTCTTCACCCCCCAAAACTCCTTCAATTCATCAACTGTGTTAAAGTTGAGACACAAGTCGTCCCGCACTAAGAGGATATGTCTTCTTCTAAATATTGACTCAGTCAGAGGGATGGTTCAGATATCGTTAGGTTGCTAGACAACTTGTGCAGCCGGCAGAGCTACTTTGTTTAAATAGCTGCTGAGTAAACATTTCATCAAGCGGATGAACACATGATTCATTCACAGTGAGTGATATTTTACGACTTTACGGACTACTTGTTGGAGGCTGCTCCTCTGCTGCTGAGGACAAACTGTTTATTTTGGCTTCGGGGGGGGGAGCAGACATGTATGAGGGTATGTGCGTGTTTGTGCGTAAAAAAACTGCGCTTCATCTGAGCCACTATCTGACAGTCTGCGGGATTGCCCTGACTTTCTTTTTCAGCGGAATCTAATTATAAGTCGGTGACAAATACTCCAAATACAGAAGCAACCCAACTGTGATGTGGGGGTGGTGTGAGAGAACAGTCCCCCCCACCCCTCTGTTGGATCCGGAGCCCGCCGGGAGAAGGACGCGCACAGGTGCCTGCACTTTTACGGTCCATGTCTTTTTCTTTTTCTTTCCTCCTACCATGAAGAGACAAAACGCCCGGACCCTCGCTCTCATCATCAGCATCCTCACTTACCTGGTGGTGGGAGCGGCCGTGTTCGAGACCCTGGAGTCCAAGCAGGAGAAGAGCCACAAGAGGAAGCTCGACGCCAGAAAGTACGAGCTCATGCGCAAATACAACTTGACCAAAGCGAACTTCGAGGAGCTGGAGCAAGTCGTGCTGCACCTCAAGCCGCACAAAGCAGGGGTCCAGTGGAAGTTCGCGGGCTCTTTTTACTTCGCCATCACTGTGATAACGACGATAGGTGAGCAGCAGTTTGTTCATTAACACGTTTTTCATCCTGGAGGGAGCGTTTCATTAAGAGCGGATCAGCAGGGCCGCAGCGAGGCTTTCAGGAGCCCCGAGGTCCTGACCCCCCCCCCCCCCCCCTTCAACAGAGTTAGTATAAGGGACAGGCGTGAGGGAAAACAGTGATGTAAGGATGGTTTTTCATTTTTAATAAGCTTTTAATAAGAGCAGAAAGAACTGGAGTCGTTGAGAATAAAATCAAAAAGCTGAAAAAAAAGCTGACATACCCAAAAGGAGTCAAAATGTGAAGAATAAAGTAGAAATGTTCAGATTACAGAGTTTAGGAGTCAGAGTATCTACTGAGAGTCGAAAATTAATGAAACATTGTGAACATATTAAAGTCATAATGATGTAAATAAGTCCAATAATGACGTGACTTCAGTCAAAATGATACAAACAGTTCATATATTTAAATCAAAGTTAAGAAGAAAAGCCTCAGAACTTCAGCTCCTTTTAAATGTTGTTATTTTCTAAAACAGGTTAAAGGTTCAATCAGTGAGATGTGTAGAGAGTGAGATGATAAAGGTATCTTACTCTCTGATCATTAAGGAAACATGCTATGTTGAAGTGCTGGCTTCTCTGACAACAATGCAGCAGCCAGTATGTCCTCCTTCTAACTTTAGATTCTGCTCCTGAATGCTCTGGATTTGTTTGGACCAGAGAAGGTAGGCGCTTTTAAGGCACCCCCCACACGGCCGTTTTGGACGCCCCTCGGTTTGTCAGATATGAGAGCAGTTATCAGGTCAACAGGTGTTGCAGCGATGGAAGCGGTCAAGAGAAGTGGTTCAGATAGAAGTGATTGTACCCGACCTAAAAAGCCTCTGCATGTTTCTAATAAGCTCCACGAGCAGAAACGTGCTCAAACTAGGATCAATATTGGAGATGCTTTTGAAAAATGGAGAGAGGTTAGAACACAGAAAGGTTTACAGACCCATGCAGAGCTGGATAAACACTGAAGCTTCAGAGTCCACCACATGGTGACCTGAGTGAGCATCCACTCTAGAGAGGAGGGGGAGACAGCTCTCTATGATGTTTAGAATTTAGACTGTAGTACCCATTTTAACCACTAGGGGTCAGAGTTACATACTGCTGCTTTAATGATATCTGCCAAACCCTGAATCAAATGAGAAAATCAGAGGAAACAAATATGTATCAAAGTCAAACCAAAGACATTGAGAAATCTTTCAAGGCAGAAACCTGGCTTCTTTTCTGACAAACCTTGATCCTTGACCACGAGTAAAAATACAATTTTCGTCATTTTTTTTTTTCTGAGTTGTTCTCGGAAGAATGTCTTTAGATCCTGTGTCAGAAACAATAATCTCTGTAAGTGTTTGTTTTTGGATCAGTCTCAGTTTTTGGTTCTCTGAGATGTTTAAGGTGGTGTTTAGGATGTTTCTATAAAAACATGACGGGAGTCTTTATGACAACAGGACCGAGTACAGACGATAACCGAGCAGATCCAGTTAAGACCATCAAAGTTGCTGGTTGAGGTGCCAGGGTACTTCCCGAGCAAGGCACAGAACCCTCAACTGCTCTGGCGCTCCCTGCAGCGTGTAGCAGCCCCACTCTGACTGATGCATGTCCACAGGGATTAATGAAGTATTTCAAAATCAAAAAAGAAAAACAAACATGGAGGACGATTGATTCACTCCATGAAGTCAGGCTCCGATGATGTCATTATAAATATTTATGATGGTGCTATTAGAGGCTGCTGTAACTCATCCATTCATACACATTCACACCCTGATGAAGCAGCGGGACAAACTCTGAGTTAAGTGTTTTGGACACATCGGACATGAGGCTTCAGGAGCTGGGGATCGAACCCTCGACCTTACAGTTAGGAGACAACCGACTCTACCATTGGGCCACAGCCGCCTGTATAAGTATCAGGACCCTGAAAAGTTACTTCAAGAAACTGGGGCTTTTCCAGAGAGAGAACGACTCTGACTTGGAGGAAGTTGTCTCTCTTGTTGCCTTCAAGTTTCTCCTTTCATCGTTTTAGTGCAGGCGGGCGGCTGCTCTTCTGAGACCACCTTTTAGCCTAATTTAAATCCATTTACAACATAATATAGATTCTTTAACGTTGCCCTAATACTCCGTCGTTAAAAGCTTAATATGTGATTTTTCACACTTAAATGTAGAAATGAAGTATCTCCTCTGAAAATAACTCTGTGAGTCATGACTGTCTACAATGGGTGTAACACCCGAGTCCCACTGTCTGTGATGTTTTCAGAGTTTTCAGAGTCCTATCTTCACTTTGTTTACATCGGCGGGACAGCCGGCTGACTCCTCCCCTCGTGTATAAAAGTTGTTTAATTGAGGGACTAGAGAAAAGAAGAATAACATACTGTACTCACTGCTTAACTGTGTTTCTAGATCACGCTCATTTCAGGTAAATTTACATGCAGTGTGAAGATACCAGCATAATAAAGATCGCTAGCATTAGCATGCTAACACAACAATGCAGCGCGAGTTGTTTTGGTTTCATGCTGGTGCTCAAGGGCGACATCTGCTGGATCAAAACATCACCTATAAAGCCTTTAAAGGTGTGAAGCCCTTTACGGTTGTTTGTGTCTTTGTTATTTATAAACATTTATGTTTTTATTGCAGGACAATTTCTCCTCTAATTGTTTCATTTATTCATTCATCATCCAGACTGAGACACGATGAGGTGTTTATGTGGAACTGAAAAATGCATCCCACAAACACACACACACACACACACACACACACACACACACTGAAACACTCACAAACACACACACACACACACACACACTGAAACACACACACACACTGAAACACACACACACTGAAACACACACACACACACACACACACACACACACACACACACACACACACACACACACACTCGGTCATTATTGAGATATTAATTGAAGAAAGCGGTGTGAGATGACATCACTTTCACACCGTCTCACTCAGCACCATGTGGTGGTTATAAATAACGAGCTGTTAATTCACAACATTAAAAGTCAAGCTGCTCGCTGTGATTGGATTTTCCATTAACGAGAGGATTTAGATGAAGCGTGTGTGTGTGTGTGTGTGTGTGTGTGTGTGTGTGTGTGTGTGTGTGTGTGTGTGTGGTTTCTTCTTTTGGATCCGAGTCGAGCAGAAATCCTTTAAATGATGGTTTCAGTGACGACCTTTGAACTGGTTTCCTCACAGATCCACTTCACAGCTTCTCAAACAACATATTCCATGTTTGAAGTGTCTGAGGTGTGAAACTGTGACCGTGTGTTTCTCTTTCAGGTTACGGCCACGCGGCGCCCAGCACCGACTCGGGGAAAGTGTTCTGCATGTTCTACGCCCTCCTGGGGATCCCGCTCACCCTCGTCATGTTCCAGAGTCTGGGCGAGCGCATCAACACCCTGGTCCGGTACCTGCTGCACCAAGCCAAGAAGTGCCTGGGGATGCGTCAGACCGAGGTCAGCATGGCCAACATGGTGACGGTGGGCTTCTTCTCCTGCATGAGCACCCTCTGCGTGGGCGCCATGGCGTTCTCTCAGTGCGAGGGGTGGAGCTTCCTGCACGCTTTCTACTACTGCTTCATCACGCTCACCACCATCGGGTTCGGGGACTACGTGGCCCTGCAGCGGGACGACGCGCTGCAGAACGACCCCCGGTACGTGGCGTTCTGCTTCGTCTACATCCTCATGGGTCTGACGGTGATCGGCGCGTTCCTCAACTTGGTCGTGCTTCGCTTCCTCACCATGAACACGGAGGACGAGCGGCGGGACGCCAAACAGCGGGCTCTGATGTCGGTGAAGCCCAGAGGAGAGGTGGCTCACTTGTTACCGGCGTCCGCCTCGACCGCCTCGCCGCCGGGAGCAGAAGACACGACCAAGGCGAAGGATTTCAAAGGCGCCTACACAGAGGTGCTGCATTTCCAGACGATCTGCTCGTGCTTGTGGTACAGGAGCAAAGAGAAGCTGCAGGGCTCCGCCGTCATCCCTCAGGACTTGACGTTTTCCGACGCCTACCTGCAGCAGAACAGCGGCGGCCCGCACTACATCGAGCCCGGGTCCAGCGGCTGCGTTTGCAGTCCGCGTCAGTGCTCCAGCATCAGCTCCATAACGTCAGGCCTTCACTTCCTCTCTCCCTTCAGGATGTTTAAGAGACGCAGCTCTGTCTAGTAGATTCCACTCCATGCCGAGTGGACGGCAGAAACACGCCGGCTGCAGAGTCGATGTTTGTGGTGCTAAAACTCCAGTAAAGCAACAGCAGGACACACAAAGGGGAAGAGCACACACACCGTACTGTAAACAACAAACGTCTTACACAAATATCTCAGAGAGCAAAGCAAGCAATCTTTTGACTTGAGGTCTATTTTGTGTGCTTAGACAAATCATGCGAGAGAAAGTGCTGCAGGTCGAATCAAGCGAGCAAAAAAAAAGCGACATGAAATACGAGAGGAAATGCTCTGCAGTAAGTTTCTGTTTTGTAGTTGGTGTAACACACGTTGCTGGAGGTTGTAGTTTTAAGTTCTTGTGTCGAGCGTTTGTGTTCATGATTTCATGACTTCATCATTTTTTTTTTTTTAAAGTCAGTTCCCATTCTCTGTCAACAATGCAGCAGCCAGTATGTCCTCCTTCTAACTTTAGATTCTGCTCCTGAATATTCTGGATTTGTTTGGACCAGAGAAGGTAAGCGCTTTTAAGACACGCCCCCACACGGTCGTTTTGGACACCCCTCGGTTTGTCAGATATGAGAGCAGTTATCAGGTCAACAGGTGTTGCAGCGATGGAAGCGGTCAAGAGAAGTGGTTCAGATAGAAGTGATTGTACCCGACCTAAAAAGCCTCTGCATGTTTCTAATAAGCTCCACGAGCAGAAACGTGCTCAAACTAGGATCAATATTGGAGATGCTTTTGAAAAATGGAGAGAGGTTAGAACACAGAAAGGTTTACAACCTGGCTTCTTTTCTGACAAACCTTGATCCTTGACCACGAGTAAAAATAACATTTTCATCAACTTTTTTTTCTGAGTTGTTCTGGGAAGAATGTCTTTAGATCCTGTGTCAGAAACAATAATCTCTGTAAGTGTTTGTTTTTGGATCATTCTCAGTTTTCCCATCGAAGAATTTGTGACTCCATATAAGTCGCCTTACGTTACCCTGAAAACTTTGATTCAAGTAACTCGTGATTGTCAGGAGGTTACTCAAGCTCACACACACACACACACACACACACACACACACACACACACACACTCTGATAACTCGACGTGACTCACTCCCTGCGTGGATGTTGTTGTGATTCCTCGGAGCTCTCTGCTGGTGCCTCAGTCACAAACACGGCGAGGTTATGTAACGTCACAAGCAGTCGAGTTCAAAACATCACGATGACATTTCCCCGAACGCGGTGAAACGGCGTTGGGTAATTTGACAATAAGATCCTCATAGGCCTAGTCACTTTGAATTACATAAAGACAAGATAAAACAGGATTTCTTTTGCTTTGATTGCTTTAAACTCAGCCGCGATTCTAGAGAGTGTTGAGGCCCTTGGCAAAAATTCAGTGTGGGGCCCCTTGACTAGAATTCAGCTGGAGCTGGAGCTGAGGCGGGTTTTAAGCCCCTTTAATGAACCGCTACAGTACATCGCACCCACCTGTCAATCATTACAGCTACTCGCCTAACTATGGATAACAGGGCTGTAAACATGTTAATCTCTGCTGTAAAAACAGGCTTTTTAGAATGGGTGTGTATGTGACTTCCTGTGCTTCTGCAGCCAGCCTCTAGTGGACACTCCAGGAACTGCAGGATTGTGCACTTCCGCATCAGCTTCATTTTTCAATTTACCACTTGAAGTAAACTTGAGTTTTCCTGAAATAGTTAAAATATTCTTTTAAAGATGTAAATCCCTCCGACCACCATGAACACCTCGTTCTCTGTCAACAGCAGCTTAACTATTAAATATATTTTGGTGTGATTGTCCACCATATTTCTTTCTGCTCTTTGGACCTAAAGGACTGTGAGCTTCTTCAGAACGAGACACTCACATGAAGCGCTCAGAGCTGTCCAAACAACATCTGGATCAAACTGAGGAGACAGACTATTTTAAGGCTCAGTTTGGAGTGGCAGATGGGAGTGGGTTTTCCTGTGTTTGGGCAAAGGATAAAAAGCTTCTTGTCAGTCAAACACAATATGCAACAGTAGATGTATAGTCTCCGTGATTGACAGAGAACCCTCAGATACTACTGCTCATCTTTCTGAGCTTATTTCCGATGTTAAGCAGCGTGTTTATTTCCGACAGAGACGACATAATGTGACATCATGGTGCAGATTTTATCTGGCAGACAGTTTAATATCAGGAGATTTCTGAATCAGTTTTGGTTATTTGGTTACTTCACCATCAAGAATGCAAGAAACAAAACCATATTTTTTAATTTGTATTGGAGGAAGGTCTCCGATCCCTAAAGAAATATTAGGAGAACAATAATGTAAAAATACTTATTCACATGTAAAGGCAGTGCAAACAAAGATGTACTTTAAGCTCCCATCTCCTCCTCGTGTTCACCTTTCATGATGTCAGTCTGTGAAACCTTTAGAATAGCTTTACATGATCTTATTTATTTGATACTGGCGTCAGCAAAAACCCTCATTTCAGCCTCGCCCTGAAATTATTCGTTTCAGCTGGGACAACACCTCCTTCCTATTAGCGGGCGATTTAAGATGCATGATTTCTGGTCTCTACATTTACTCGTTCATTGCACCAAGTACTTCTTCTCCCCCCCCCCCCACACACACACACACACACACACACACACACACACACACACCCCAGCATCTATCAGGGGGGGATTTAAGATATCATCTCATCATGACTCAAATTTCTGTATGTAGAATAAAAACTGAGGATTGATGAGGTCAGCCTAGGCACCAACCAGAACTATCTTCTGCTGCAATAAATGTTTTTCCAACAAATGCAAACGTGAGTTGTCCGACTGAAGGGAGGTTGCCACTTTGGCAGAACGCTGCAGGGCTGCCAGGGGAGGGCTGCTCTCCGGTGCTGAAAGAGGTTTCAACAGATTTACCTCATGACCTGAACCTTTGCCCACGTTTAGTCTGGGCTGCAGTGTGACTCTATAGGTGAGATTTAAAAAGGGATCAGCAGAACAGGTCAACGTTAAGTAAAATGACTTAATTAGCACTGTCACCACCTGAAGAAGAGTAAAGAGTCACAGGAATCGTGAGAGTATATCTACAGATTGTATAATAATCTGAATCTCTGAAGATGGATTTTTATTCTTTTCACCATTTGGTATTTCTTGTTTTGTTTCTCTGTTTTCATGAATTCAAACCATGTGACACACAGAGGACGTACATATGAGTGTCAGAAATGTCATGCACATGCAGTTAGCTCCATCTCATCTCCCTGTTTTGTTGGACTGTACTGAATCGAACCACGATGTTTAAAGGACTACTTGCACATTATAACAGAAGATAAAGGACGATATGGACGCTTTCTGTTTCAGCCTGCTCTACTGAGTACTGTATTCAGTTTTTTTTCCTTTTTATTAAGGTTTATTTTTGGGCTTTTTATGCCTTTATTCCAGAGACAGAACAGTGGATAGAGCCAGAGAGCGAGAGTGGGGAAAGACATGCTGGAAAGGAGCCACAGGTCGGATTCAAACCCGGGCCGTCCGATCTCGAGGTCTTAGCCTCTGTACGTGGGGTCGCACGCATGAACTGCTATAGCTACTGGTGCTCCGAGTACTGTAGTCGTTTTTAAAGAGGAACCGCCCATGTTGCACTGACATGATCTGGTTTCTCTGTTTCTTGCTTCGACAAGAACAGATTTTATCTTTTTGTTGAAAAATGACTGGAGAGAAAACTGTACTTGAACAAACCAGAAGTACTTGAAATTATTGTTTTTTATTATCTTAACTTGCCAAGGGATGTGTGCAGATGAGTCTAATGCAAAATAAATCACATTATTGTACTGTACTGCCCAGAAATATTAAAAAAAACCTGGATAGAAAACATTAAAAACATGGATATTTCAGACTGTTTGGGAGTTTTATTGGATGTTCTTGTTACCTGATAACAGCCGTAAGTAAACGATAGTATCTTCAGATTTGTGAAATGCGTTCCTGCTGTCTTTTATAAGTGACTATATAAGACGTAGTGATGACATGTTGCCGTCCTCATGCTGTTTTATCATGTGCGCTGTGTGAGAAAAAAAGACTGCTGAATGTATAGAAACGGCCGTTTGGTCCAGATGGTTCCCCGTGTGAGTTCTGACTGATGTCCAGTTCCGGACAACCTACAGCAGGTTAGTCACGAGCTCAAAGTATGGCGGTGGATCAGTATGTGTATGTTGGTTATATTAAAGTCGTCATCATGTGGTACGGCAGGCGGGGGAGGGGGGGTGGACACACGACACCAGAAACACTCCTCATCACTCAGAAAACACAGTTAGAGAAAATCTTTTCCCCTCATGTCAGGTTATGTTCAAATCAAAAGTAAGGATGTTCCCAGCCGACTCATTTCTGAGTCAGTTAAACGATTTTAAATTTAGTTTCACAAACTAATACGAGAGAGCATCCCATCATCCAGAGTAGGGACGGGCAACTTTGGTCACAGCAAGGGCCACATTCATTTAATTCTCACTGCAGAGGGCCAAATAGTAGAATACAAAAACGATTACAGTCAATTATGTCTCAAATTTAACTCAAACTATACCAGTGATCAAATATTATTATGGACATTTCTGATTTTCAGATTTCATGGCAGATTTTGTAATGTTTTCTTCATGTTCTAATTAATTGATATGTAAAAATTTATCTGAGGGCCACGTTGAAGGTTGGTGGGGGCCGCATGTGGCCCCCGGGCCGCCAGTTGCCCACCCCTGATCTAGAGCTACAGCCAGGTTATGGCTAAAGCCCCAACTAGTGGCAGGCGGTTTGAGCGGAACATTGAACCGGCCAAAATATGAATAATTAGTTAGTTAAGAAAACACTGTGAGAAGCACAATGTATTTTTAAATTGTCTGCAGGTAAACTTTGTAAAATAATGTGCAGAGTGTGGCTAACGTTAGCATCTTTAGCACCGCCATTCTTCAGTCCTCCCTCCAGGTTAGCACATACCTGAGCTAAATGTGGATTACGCATCGCTCCGATTGATACACCACTTTAACCTGACACACATACAGACAACTTTATCCACATTTCTAGATGAAAATACTGCCAAACCGCTCTGCTCCTCCGAGATGATCTCTGTTCACTGTGCTCGTTTACATCCAGGTAGTCGAGCGAGCAGAGCAGCCACATTTAACACATTTTCTCGCCATTCCTCTGCGATGACCGTTTTATTTTTCAAAGTTGTCCATTCAGGCGTTTCTGCTCGTCAACACTCAAAGGGTGGAAGTAAGACTAGACATCATACACAGGAGCAAGAACTACAAAATAAAACAGGAAACACTAAAAACTAAACTCAGGATTATCAACAGAAAAATACAGGAAGTGGAGAAACACAAGGACACAAATGACAAAATAAAACAGCAAACTACAACAACAAGGAACAAACAAATGAAGCAAGAGTAAACCATGAAACAAGCAACCGCAAACTGAACGATGAGCCGAAAACATGCAAATAATCCTACTCCTATGATACCAGTGAAACAAGCCAGACTGTTTTTCTGACATCAGAATCACTTGATAATTCTGCAGCTATTGGATTAGTATCTTGTTGTTAAAATCTTCTAGCCGCTGCAGCCATCTTGTAAGGCCTGGCCCCGTGCCGGTGTCTCTGCCTTCAGCCAGTAGATGTGCCCAGAAAAGCAACAGAAGGAGAATCTATTCGACATTCCCTGTTTTGACCCCCTGTGGCAGGAGCATCTGCTGTTTTCTACTTTGGCCATAGACCTGAGTATCTGTGTCAAAGACAGAAATAGTTTCACTGAGAAGGTCAAATAAGGCATCGCGTCACTTTCTTTCTGTTATATAAAAATTCTGGGCAGGTTGTTAAAGCCAATTTAACGTGAGTGTTAATGTGTGTTTGAGCACATTTTGTGTTTGTTTTTTCATACTAATATATTTATTTACTTTCTTTAACAAATAAGTAAGCAAATAAATAGACACAAAAAAAATCCTTAACTGTTTAGGGCCACAAAATATAAAAAAAATGTAAAATCTAAACTATCGAGATTAAAGTCGTACATTTACTACATGAAATTTGTTAATCCATTCAAATTATACGAAGGAGTATTAGGACCACGTTAAGAGGGGAACAATCTGATATTTTGAGATTAGTCATTTACAAGAAAAAAGTAATACATTTAAAAAATAATAAGTCGTAAATTTACGAAATTTGTAAGCAAAAAAAAGTCCCAAATTTACGATAATTAATTTGTAAATTTACAAGAAAAAGTCGTGAGTGAAGAAAGTCATAAATTTAAGATAATAAAGTCGTAAATGTACTAAAATTAATTAATTTAGGAGAACAAAGTCTTAAGAGAAGAAAGTCGTAATTTAAGATAATAAAGTCCTAAATGTAATAGAATAAATTCTTAGATTTACGAGAATACATTTTTAAGAGAATAAAGTGATTTATTTATGAGAATGAATTCATACACATTAATGAGGTTTGAATTACGAAACGAGGTCTAGGGCACAGTTGCCGTTTACCGAGCGTCAGTGAACGTCACACGGGGCGGTCTCTGCTCACTCTGGTGAAAGTTCAAAGTTCTTGAAAGTCCGTTAAGTTTGAGAAATGGACCTGAGACACCTGGTTGTGGACGCGCTGTCCCAGAATAAGAAAGCCGCCGTGCTGCTCGGCGGAGCCGGCGTCGCTGTTCTCGGTCTCGGTCTCGGTTATAAATATCTCCGAGAGACAGAAAAAGTGTTTCGTGTGGGCGTCGTGTCGCAGCTCCTCATTCACCCCCTGAAGTCTGGGAAAGCGGTCTCTCTGGCTCTGGCGGAGTGTCACAAAACTGGGCTGAAGTTTGGAGAGCTGCAGGATCGGTGAGAGCGATACATCATCACCTGTTCAGACCTGACCAATCGAGTCAGAAACCTGATTTAAAAAGTAGTACCTTCAGTACCTTCAGTACCTTCAGTACACTCTGTGCATTATTTTTCTCACAGACATATATAATTAAATAAAGTCAGATTATGATATTTGAGTTTGGCATTATAAGCACACAGGTGTTTCCAGGTACTGTGGTTGGTCTGCAGGATTTTACACTTCTGCATCGACCACCAGAGGTTACTGCCCTATGGTTACTGCTTGGTTTATGCTCAGGCTGTTGTACGGTGGCCCTGAAGGACAACTACACAGTAGTTAATGATTACAAAAAAAATAATTCTGAAGACGCCAAAATCAGGTCACGCTTCCCCCTCTTACATTCACATCCTGCCACAGATAGATACTGAAAACAAACTTTTCTTTCTGAGATATTTTAGGATGTTTCCCGAAAAAAACCAGAACAGATAGACGAGTGTCTTTTTATGTACTTTGATCACACACTGGGTCCAGTCTCTGACAGAGACCAGGGGCACCGTATGGGGGTGAAAAGTTAGGACGACAGAGCTGGATCTGCAGAGCTTTAAATCAGCGGTTCCCAAACTTTTCAGACCACGACCCCCCCCCCCCCCCAAAAAAAGGTTGCTAGCACCTGGTGACCCCTGTTGTCACTGGAGGCGGTTAAAACATTTAATGTTGTGCACAGCCGGGCACACCTTCAGGCCTCTCCAAACATTAGAGGAGCACAGAATGACACAACAGCCCGAACAGAAACACGAGAAGAAGAACACACCTGATCTCTTCACTAAGTTTTTAGTTAGTTACTAACCCGTATTTCATGAAGGTGTTCAAACGATGATGACAGGAACATGTGAAGGGGGAATACAGACGGGATACGTCCAGGTTTCTAACCAGTGGTTATAAATAAACGTGACGTAAATCTGGGATTTAGGGAGGAGAGGATGAGTCAGCTGTCTCTATGGCAACCTGTGATGTCATCGGTCCTTGTGCTGTAGCCTTTATACACATTTCTTTCTGATGTAGGTGAACTCTTTTTGAATTATGATGTTAAATGTGAGAAAAAACGAGTGCACATTCCCGTACCTTTGATTCAAACCTGTAAGAGCTCAGCGCGCAGGTCGAGCGTAGCGTTTGTTGGAATCGAACCCGGGATGCCAAATGGTGCAGACGAGGGTTTCTCTTTGGACTGTCGGTCTTTGTGTTGCTTTTCTCACTCATGATGATATCCACAGGAGGCTTCATATGTTTGTGTGTGGTTCTTTATGTGTAGTCTCTGTACGGACTACGGTGGCTGGAAAGTCCAAAACAAAATTACAACATGAGAAACATTTTTCCAATCGCTGAGACAAATTTACAACCGACAGAATCTTGACGGAAAGTGAATGTACCAAATGCAGGAAGTGACCAAGATTCTGTCGTTTATAAATTTGTCTCAGCGATTGTAAAAATGTTTCTCATGTTGTAATTTTTGTTTTGCACTTCCCAGCCACCGTACTGGATGGATCCAGATGTTCCCCTCTAATCCGTGTGTTGTGGTTGCAGGCACTGGCTGGTGGTGTCGGAGGACGGCCACATGGTCACGGGCAGACAGGAGCCCCGCCTGGTGCTCGTGTCTCTGACCTGCGAGGGAGGTCGTGTCTGTCTCAACGGGCCCAACATGGAGGAGCTGCGATTCCCCGTCAAGACACCCGACAACGCCGTCATCGACTGCAGGTTCTAAGAACAATAATAATAATATTTCTGTCCAAGTGATTATGTTGCATGATGTATGGAGGATATATAGAAAATGGAAAGTAGCTGTTTTTACAGTTTTATCCTCTTTGCATCATTAATTTTGGTTTGACGCTTTTTTTTCTTCTTCTTCTTCCTTCCTTCCTTATCTTCTCCTCCTCCTCCTCCCCTCCTCCTTCTTCCTTCTTCTTCTTCACGTCTTTGTGCCTCAGAGTCTTCAGCGCTGACATTCAGGGACGGGACTGCGGCGACGAGGCGTCTCGCTGGCTCACTCGTTATCTGGGCGAAGAGAAAACCTTTCGCTTGGTGCACTTTGAAGAGCAGATGAGGGGCAGGAGGCCGATGGAGAGCAAGCCGCAGTTCCCGCAGTTTGAGGTAAACCGATCTCTGTCCGTATATCAGAACCTTTTTATCCCCTCATTAAAAAGCTTCAACTTTATCTTTTTTTTTTTTTAAGATTTATTTTTTGGGCTTTTCGTGCCTTTAATGCAGAGAGAGGACAGTGGATAGAGTCTGAAACCAGAGAGAGAGAGGACAGTGGATAGAGTCTGAAACCAGAGAGAGAGGACAGTGGATAGAGTCAGAAACCAGAGAGAGAGGACAGTGGATAGAGTCAGAAACCAGAGAGAGAGAGACAGTGGATAGAGTCAGAAACCAGAGAGAGAGAGAGAGGACAGTGGATAGAGTCTGAAACCAGAGAGAGAGGACAGTGGATAGAGTCTGAAACCAGAGAGAGAGAGGACAGTGGATAGAGTCTGAAACCAGAGAGAGAGGACAGTGGATAGAGTCTGAAACCAGAGAGAGAGAGGACAGTGGATAGAGTCTGAAACCAGAGAGAGAGAGGACAGTGGATAGAGTCAGAAACCAGAGAGAGAGAGGACAGTGGATAGAGTCTGAAACCAGAGAGAGAGAGGACAGTGGATAGAGTCAGAAACCAGAGAGAGAGAGGACAGTGGATAGAGTCTGAAACCAGAGAGAGAGAGGACAGTGGATAGAGTCAGAAACCAGAGAGAGAGAGGACAGTGGATAGAGTCAGAAACCAGAGAGAGAGAGGACAGTGGATAGAGTCTGAAACCAGAGAGAGAGAGGACAGTGGATAGAGTCAGAAACCAGAGAGAGAGAGGACAGTGGATAGAGTCAGAAACCAGAGAGAGAGAGAGGACAGTGGATAGAGTCTGAAACCAGAGAGAGAGAGAGGACAGTGGATAGAGTCTGAAACCAGAGAGAGAGAGGACAGTGGATAGAGTCTGAAACCAGAGAGAGAGAGGACAGTGGATAGAGTCTGAAACCAGAGAGAGAGAGGACAGTGGATAGAGTCAGAAACCAGAGAGAGAGAGAGGACAGTGGATAGAGTCAGAAACCAGAGAGAGAGAGAGGACAGTGGATAGAGTCAGAAACCAGAGAGAGAGAGGACAGTGGATAGAGTCAGAAACCAGAGAGAGAGAGGACAGTGGATAGAGTCAGAAACCAGAGAGAGAGGACAGTGGATAGAGTCAGAAACCAGAGAGAGAGAGGACAGTGGATAGAGTCAGAAACCAGAGAGAGAGAGACAGTGGATAGAGTCAGAAACCAGAGAGAGAGAGGACAGTGGATAGAGTCAGAAACCAGAGAGAGAGAGAGGACAGTGGATAGAGTCTGAAACCAGAGAGAGAGAGGACAGTGGATAGAGTCTGAAACCAGAGAGAGAGAGGACAGTGGATAGAGTCTGAAACCAGAGAGAGAGAGGACAGTGGATAGAGTCAGAAACCAGAGAGAGAGGACAGTGGATAGAGTCAGAAACCAGAGAGAGAGAGAGGACAGTGGATAGAGTCAGAAACCAGAGAGAGAGAGGACAGTGGATAGAGTCTGAAACCAGAGAGAGAGAGAGGACAGTGGATAGAGTCTGAAACCAGAGAGAGAGAGGACAGTGGATAGAGTCAGAAACCAGAGAGAGAGAGAGGACAGTGGATAGAGTCAGAAACCAGAGAGAGAGAGGACAGTGGATAGAGTCTGAAACCAGAGAGAGAGAGAGGACAGTGGATAGAGTCAGAAACCAGAGAGAGAGAGGACAGTGGATAGAGTCTGAAACCAGAGAGAGAGAGGACAGTGGATAGAGTCTGAAACCAGAGAGAGAGAGGACAGTGGATAGAGTCAGAAACCAGAGAGAGAGAGGACAGTGGATAGAGTCAGAAACCAGAGAGAGAGAGGACAGTGGATAGAGTCTGAAACCAGAGAGAGAGAGGACAGTGGATAGAGTCAGAAACCAGAGAGAGAGAGGACAGTGGATAGAGTCTGAAACCAGAGAGAGAGAGGACAGTGGATAGAGTCTGAAACCAGAGAGAGAGAGGACAGTGGATAGAGTCAGAAACCAGAGAGAGAGAGGACAGTGGATAGAGTCTGAAACCAGAGAGAGAGAGGACAGTGGATAGAGTCTGAAACCAGAGAGAGAGAGGACAGTGGATAGAGTCTGAAACCAGAGAGAGAGAGGACAGTGGATAGAGTCAGAAACCAGAGAGAGAGAGGACAGTGGATAGAGTCAGAAACCAGAGAGAGAGAGAGGACAGTGGATAGAGTCAGAAACCAGAGAGAGAGAGAGGACAGTGGATAGAGTCTGAAACCAGAGAGAGAGAGGACAGTGGATAGAGTCTGAAACCAGAGAGAGAGAGAGGACAGTGGATAGAGTCAGAAACCAGAGAGAGAGAGGACAGTGGATAGAGTCTGAAACCAGAGAGAGAGAGGACAGTGGATAGAGTCAGAAACCAGAGAGAGAGAGAGGACAGTGGATAGAGTCAGAAACCAGAGAGAGAGAGAGGACAGTGGATAGAGTCTGAAACCAGAGAGAGAGAGAGGACAGTGGATAGAGTCAGAAACCAGAGAGAGAGAGAGGACAGTGGATAGAGTCAGAAACCAGAGAGAGAGAGGACAGTGGATAGAGTCAGAAACCAGAGAGAGAGAGGACAGTGGATAGAGTCAGAAACCAGAGAGAGAGAGAGGACAGTGGATAGAGTCAGAAACCAGAGAGAGAGAGGACAGTGGATAGAGTCAGAAACCAGAGAGAGAGAGAGGACAGTGGATAGAGTCTGAAACCAGAGAGAGAGAGGACAGTGGATAGAGTCAGAAACCAGAGAGAGAGAGAGGACAGTGGATAGAGTCAGAAACCAGAGAGAGAGGACAGTGGATAGAGTCAGAAACCAGAGAGAGAGAGGACAGTGGATAGAGTCAGAAACCAGAGAGAGAGAGAGGACAGTGGATAGAGTCAGAAACCAGAGAGAGAGAGAGGACAGTGGATAGAGTCAGAAACCAGAGAGAGAGAGGACAGTGGATAGAGTCTGAAACCAGAGAGAGAGAGAGGACAGTGGATAGAGTCAGAAACCAGAGAGAGAGAGGACAGTGGATAGAGTCTGAAACCAGAGAGAGAGAGGACAGTGGATAGAGTCAGAAACCAGAGAGAGAGAGGACAGTGGATAGAGTCTGAAACCAGAGAGAGAGAGAGAGGACAGTGGATAGAGTCAGAAACCAGAGAGAGAGAGGACAGTGGATAGAGTCAGAAACCAGAGAGAGAGGACAGTGGATAGAGTCAGAAACCAGAGAGAGAGAGGACAGTGGATAGAGTCAGAAACCAGAGAGAGAGAGGACAGTGGATAGAGTCTGAAACCAGAGAGAGAGAGGACAGTGGATAGAGTCAGAAACCAGAGAGAGAGAGAGGACAGTGGATAGAGTCAGAAACCAGAGAGAGAGGACAGTGGATAGAGTCTGAAACCAGAGAGAGAGAGGACAGTGGATAGAGTCAGAAACCAGAGAGAGAGGACAGTGGATAGAGTCTGAAACCAGAGAGAGAGAGAGAGGACAGTGGATAGAGTCAGAAACCAGAGAGAGAGAGGACAGTGGATAGAGTCAGAAACCAGAGAGAGAGGACAGTGGATAGAGTCTGAAACCAGAGAGAGAGAGGACAGTGGATAGAGTCAGAAACCAGAGAGAGAGAGGACAGTGGATAGAGTCTGAAACCAGAGAGAGAGAGGACAGTGGATAGAGTCTGAAACCAGAGAGAGAGAGGACAGTGGATAGAGTCAGAAACCAGAGAGAGAGGACAGTGGATAGAGTCAGAAACCAGAGAGAGAGAGGACAGTGGATAGAGTCAGAAACCAGAGAGAGAGGACAGTGGATAGAGTCAGAAACCAGAGAGAGAGAGGACAGTGGATAGAGTCAGAAACCAGAGAGAGAGAGGACAGTGGATAGAGTCTGAAACCAGAGAGAGAGAGGACAGTGGATAGAGTCAGAAACCAGAGAGAGAGAGAGGACAGTGGATAGAGTCTGAAACCAGAGAGAGAGAGGACAGTGGATAGAGTCAGAAACCAGAGAGAGAGAGGACAGTGGATAGAGTCTGAAACCAGAGAGAGAGAGGACAGTGGATAGAGTCAGAAACCAGAGAGAGAGAGGACAGTGATAGAGTCAGAAACCAGAGAGAGAGAGGACAGTGGATAGAGTCTGAAACCAGAGAGAGAAGAGGACAGTGGATAGAGTCAGAAACCAGAGAGAGAGAGGACAGTGGATAGAGTCTGAAACCAGAGAGAGAGAGGACAGTGGATAGAGTCAGAAACCAGAGAGAGAGAGGACAGTGGATAGAGTCTGAAACCAGAGAGAGAGAGGACAGTGGATAGAGTCTGAAACCAGAGAGAGAGAGGACAGTGGATAGAGTCTGAAACCAGAGAGAGAGGACAGTGGATAGAGTCAGAAACCAGAGAGAGAGGACAGTGGATAGAGTCAGAAACCAGAGAGAGAGGACAGTGGATAGAGTCTGAAACCAGAGAGAGAGAGGACAGTGGATAGAGTCAGAAACCAGAGAGAGAGAGGACAGTGGATAGAGTCAGAAACCAGAGAGAGAGAGAGGACAGTGGATAGAGTCAGAAACCAGAGAGAGAGAGGACAGTGGATAGAGTCAGAAACCAGAGAGAGAGGACAGTGGATAGAGTCAGAAACCAGAGAGAGAGAGGACAGTGGATAGAGTCTGAAACCAGAGAGAGAGAGGACAGTGGATAGAGTCAGAAACCAGAGAGAGAGGACAGTGGATAGAGTCTGAAACCAGAGAGAGAGAGGACAGTGGATAGAGTCAGAAACCAGAGAGAGAGAGACAGTGGATAGAGTCAGAAACCAGAGAGAGAGAGGACAGTGGATAGAGTCTGAAACCAGAGAGAGAGAGAGACAGTGGATAGAGTCTGAAACCAGAGAGAGAGGACAGTGGATAGAGTCTGAAACCAGAGAGAGAGAGAGGACAGTGGATAGAGTCTGAAACCAGAGAGAGAGGACAGTGGATAGAGTCTGAAACCAGAGAGAGAGAGGACAGTGGATAGAGTCTGAAACCAGAGAGAGAGAGGACAGTGGATAGAGTCAGAAACCAGAGAGAGAGGACAGTGGATAGAGTCAGAAACCAGAGAGAGAGAGGACAGTGGATAGAGTCAGAAACCAGAGAGAGAGAGGACAGTGGATAGAGTCTGAAACCAGAGAGAGAGAGGACAGTGGATAGAGTCAGAAACCAGAGAGAGAGAGGACAGTGGATAGAGTCTGAAACCAGAGAGAGAGAGGACAGTGGATAGAGTCTGAAACCAGAGAGAGAGAGGACAGTGGATAGAGTCAGAAACCAGAGAGAGAGAGGACAGTGGATAGAGTCTGAAACCAGAGAGAGAGAGGACAGTGGATAGAGTCTGAAACCAGAGAGAGAGAGAGGACAGTGGATAGAGTCTGAAACCAGAGAGAGAGAGGACAGTGGATAGAGTCAGAAACCAGAGAGAGAGAGGACAGTGGATAGAGTCTGAAACCAGAGAGAGAGAGGACAGTGGATAGAGTCAGAAACCAGAGAGAGAGAGGACAGTGGATAGAGTCAGAAACCAGAGAGAGAGAGGACAGTGGATAGAGTCAGAAACCAGAGAGAGAGAGGACAGTGGATAGAGTCAGAAACCAGAGAGAGAGAGGACAGTGGATAGAGTCAGAAACCAGAGAGAGAGGACAGTGGATAGAGTCTGAAACCAGAGAGAGAGAGGACAGTGGATAGAGTCTGAAACCAGAGAGAGAGAGGACAGTGGATAGAGTCTGAAACCAGAGAGAGAGGACAGTGGATAGAGTGAAACCAGAGAGAGAGAGGACAGTGGATAGAGTCTGAAACCAGAGAGAGAGAAGGACAGTGGATAGAGCTGAAACCAGAGAGAGAGAGGACAGTGGATAGAGTCTGAAACCAGAGAGAGAGAGGACGGTGGATAGAGTCAGAAACCAGAGAGAGAGAGAGGACAGTGGATAGAGTCAGAAACCAGGGAGAGAGAGGGGGAATGACATGTGGAAAGGGGCCACGGGTGGAAGTGAACCTGGGCCTACCGCTCGAGATGAGAGTCTGAACACATGGGACGTGCGCCCTAACCACTGGGCCACCAGCGCGCCCCACTTCAACTTCATCTTGAATGTTCAGTAATGTTTGTGAACATATATCTGGGTAACCTGAGAGTCTACTGACCCACAACATGTGAAGTAAACCCATCCAGTCCTTTGTTTGTGGTCTGCATAAGTCTTACAACACAGAGAAAAATGCTCTGTTTCAAATGTGCTCTCCTTGTGATGTCACAGTGGGATTCTGGTAAAAAAATAATCTCCCCTCCCCTGGTATCTCCACCCATGGACTCCACCTCCAGACTAGAACAAAACTTTTGCACAGGTCCGCCATTTCATTCTCACTACAGAGGAGTGATGTCTAACGGGGGGGGGGGGGCATTACATTTAAAGAGACACACACCAAAACGGAGCGTTCTGAGAGAGCTGGTTTATACAGGGTTACAAACCTCCTCTGGTGCTTGATTCATGTTATATTTTGACCAAAGCACAGCACAGATGTTTCATTTAACCACAGGGGACTGTTTGAAAAGTGTGAGGAGGGACTGTTTGAAAAGGTGGAGGAGGGACTGTTTGAAAAGGTGGAGGAGGAACTGTTTGAAAAGGTGGAGGAGGACTGTTTGAAAAGGTGGAGGAGGGGACTGTTTGAAAAGGTGGAGGAGGACTGTTTGAAAAGGTGGAGGAGGACTGTTTGAAAAGGTGGAGGAGGGGACTGTTTGAAAAGGTGGAGGAGGGGACTGTTTGAAAAGGTGGAGGAGGACTGTTTGAAAAGGTGGAGGAGGGGGATGATACGTCCTCTTTAAGATACTCGAGCCTGCTTACTCTTTGGACACGCACCCTAATTACATCACCACTTACTCTGACCTTGTTAGACTTCATCTGTTTTAATGAATTGTGTCAGAAGGTGAGGATGGATGTACCTAATAATAAAGAAGAAAACAAAACTGAATTTCCATCATCATTTACCGGTTGATGGTGTTTGTGTGTTTTTGGCGTGCAGGTGGCGTTCTCCGATGAGGCCCCGGTGATGCTGCTGTCCGAGTCGTCTGTGAACGATCTCAGCAGCAAGTTAGAGAAGGACGTGACGGTGGAGCGCTTCCGCCCGAGCATCGTCGTCAGCGACTGTGAGGCGTACAGCGAGGTCAGTTCAACAAACACACACACACACACACACACACACACACACACACACACACACACACACACACACACACACACCTGTTTATTTATCACATCGTTTTCCTCTGTGTGTGTTAAAATAAGAACAATAATATATATAATATAATGAAACATCACAGAGTCTTCAAAATGACAGCGCCTGCTTTGTTAGATTTTCTCTCTCCTGCTCTTTTGCTCGTTCACTTCTGACTAATCGCTCGCCCTTTTCGGTGTGAGCAGCGTGGACTAAATTTATCTCCAACTCAAAAAAACCAACTGTTTGGCTTTTTTCAGGACTCATGGGAGGAGATCCAGATTGGCAGCGTGCGACTGCAGCGTGTGATGTCGTGTGGACGGTAACACAGCTGACGCCTCGCTCAGAATTAAATCTGAACCTCCTCGTTCACAGACAGCGATCAGACGTGCTGACAGTCCTCCGGGTTTGGAGACAAATTCATTCTCAAAGGACTGAGGAGCGTGTCTGACATTATCGTCTTTGTCTTCTTTAGAGGAGGATTAGCAGGATAGGAGAGATCACACCTTTTATCTTTGTTTTCTTTTCAGGTGCATTTTCACTACAGTCGACCCTGAGACAGGAGTCATCAACAGGAAGGAGCCGCTGGAGACCCTGAAGAGGTAACGTTTGAAGAGAGAAGAAGTGTCAGGACATCCACCCTTCCCTCATTCCCACTGCCGTCCAGATTACAAAGCCATTCAAAACAAGCAGAAAAAACAACAATAATCACCAAAATAATAGAAACCAGTTAAAACACTTAGAATTGGAAACAAAGCGGCTGGAAATCAAGAACAAGCCTCCTGCAGGTCTGGGAGGTGAGGTGGAAGGTTCTCAATACGGGCCTTGAAAAGAAATAAAAACCAGCGTTTGTCGAGCATTGCACTTTCTTCAAGAGGCCGACGACCTTCTCAGGGCGCAGTCACACTTTTCTGTTCACATCTCTACACACACAGAGAGAGAGAGAGAGAGAGACAGAGAGAGAGAGACAGAGAGAGAGAGGGAGACAGAGAGAGAGAGACAGAGAGAGAGAGAGAGAGGGAGACAGAGAGAGAGAGAGAGGGAGACAGAGAGAGAGAGTCAGAGACAGAGAGAGAGAGAGAGAGAGAGAGAGAGGGAGACAGAGAGAGAGACAGAGAGAGAGAGAGAGGGAGACAGAGAGAGAGAGAGACAGAGAGTCAGAGAGAGAGACAGAGAGAGAGAGAGACAGAGAGAGACAGAGAGAGAGGGAGACAGAGAGAGACAGAGAGAGAGGGAGACAGAGAGAGAGAGAGAGAGGGAGACAGAGAGAGAGGGAGACAGAGAGAGACAGAGAGAGAGAGAGGGAGACAGAGAGAGAGGGAGACAGAGAGAGAGAGGGAGACAGGAGAGAGAGAGACAGAGAGTCAGAGAGAGAGACAGAGAGAGAGGGAGACAGAGAGAGAGAGGGAGTCAGAGAGAGAGAGAGACAGAGAGAGAGGGAGACGGAGAGAGAGGGAGACAGAGAGAGAGAGAGGGAGACAGAGAGAGAGAGGGAGACAGAGAGAGAGAGGGAGACAGAGGGAGAGAGAGAGACAGAGAGTCAGAGAGAGAGACAGAGAGAGAGAGGGAGTCAGAGAGAGACAGAGAGAGAGGGAGACGGAGAGAGAGAGAGCGAGAGAGTCAGAGAGAGACAGACAGAGAGAGAGAGAGAGCCATACGTACTGACCTGAACCTTTTTTTCCTCCTACATGAACTTTTTTATAAAATTCATTGTGTCTAGCTTTTCGTCTGATTTCTCTTCACAGCTACCGTCTGTGCGACCCGTCAGAGACACACATCTACAAAAAGTCTCCGTTGTTCGGACAGCTGCACGCCGTCAAGAAGACGGGCATCCTGCAGGTCGGCGACGTCGTGTACAAGATCAGCCGCTGATTGAAGACAAGCGACGAGGGGGAGGCGAGTGTCAAATGTTCAGTCACTTTGGAGAGGGAACAAACCTTCATGTTATCAGAACGATCACTCTGAAACTTAAAGCTCAAAATAATCAAGAACTACAGCACAGGAAATGTAAAAACTGAAATATGTGTGAAACTAAAAATGTTTTTGGATGTTGTAATAATCAAAATGTCTTCTTCAAGCTGATGTGAAGCTCTGTTTAATCAAATACAGGATCAGAGTGGATTTAGAACAAGAAACTTCACACACATGTTTTTCAGAGCTCTGAGAGGAGCTCTGAAGAAGAGGAGGAGGATATGTCACCTTTAAAGTTCAATCTGTGGAGGTTTGTTTTTCTGTTTAATCTTTAACATTTCCAGTGTTAAAAGTGTGAAGTTAAAGGAAGTTAAACCATTAGAGGTTCCTGTAAGACCAAGTGTCAGTTAAATTAAATGATCAGTAGGGGGAAACCTTTACTGAAGCAGTGCTGCAGTCTGCAGAGAGAGAGAGAGAGAGAGGGGGGGGGGTATTCTGGATATCTTTATTTAGACAAACCTCAAAGACTTCAGACGATCATTTCAACTTTTAAAATTGTTTAATAAATCAATATTGAAGTGTTAGAAGTTACTTAACTTTATTACAGAAAGGTCAGCACGAGTGTCACAAACTTTTATTTTAAATTGAAAATTAAAATGTGTTTTTTTGTGATCAACTTTTTATTGAAATTTTACATAAGATGCTTAAACACATGAGCTTCAATGACAGAAACAGAAGACATCATCAAACATACAAACTATTGACAGATCGCCGTTGCCTTGATGAGGAAAAATATACATAAAATTTGAAACAAAGACAAAATTACTGAATGAAATTATGATATGCATGTACACACATATGTATATGAAAATGTGTTTTTATGCACAAATAAAAACAGAAATGATAAAACATGGTCGCCTTCTTCTGACACTGTAATGATGCTGTAAACATACAGCTCACATACCTGCATACCGTGTGCTGAACAGAACACACTAATAGCATCGTGTAGTGTAGTAATTTCATAGATTGGGCTCCAACCAGCCTGACTCCACGTCTGAACACTCAAATGAAAAACCTGAACTACAAACAAAAAACATTTTAACAGCTGGAAGCTCCGGATGTGTCATTTAGAAGTCTGGTTCTGCACAAGCACCTCTAAACCTCTTCTATGATTTACTCACTACTTCGAGGTAACTCTGACCCCTAGTGTTTAAAATGGGTACTGCAGTCTAAATTCTAAACATCATAGAGAGCTGTCTCCCCCCCCCCCCTCCTCTCTAGAGTGGATGCTCACTCAGGTCACCATGTGGTGGACTCTGAAGCTTCAGTGTTTATCCAGCTCTGCATGGGTCTGTAAACCTTTCTGTGTTCTAACCTCTCTCCATTTTTCAAAAGCATCTCCAATATTGATCCTAGTTTGAGCACGTTTCTGCTCGTGGAGCTTATTAGAAACATGCAGAGGCTTTTTAGGTCGGGTACAATCACTTCTATCTGAACCACTTCTCTTGACCGCTTCCATCACTGCAACACCTGTTGACCTGATAACTGCTCTCATATCTGACAAACCGAGGGGTGTCCAAAACGGCCGTGTGGGGGCGTGTCATAAAACCGCCTACCTTCTCTGGTCCAAACAAATCCAGAGCATTCAGGAGCAGAATGTAAAGTTAGAAGGAGGACATACTGGCTGCTGCATTGTTGTCAGAGAAGCCAGCACTTCAACATAGCATGTTTCCTTAATGATCAGAGAGTAAGATACCTTTATCATCTCACTCTCTACACATCTCACTGATTGGACCTTTAGGGCTTTGTACATGGGTCAAGTGCATAACAGCTAGGCTAGTGGTTCCCCGAAAATGAACATATTTGCATAAAGTTACCAGATATTCAGCCTGGGCAGCTGTTTGCAGGTCACTAAACTTTCAGGAATTCAACATGAAAAACTAAAAACTTAAAGTGGTGACTATACCATCCTGCTCTGTGTCATTTCACGCTCCGGGTTAGTTTAAGAGTGTGACGGTTCCTTCAGCTTCAAAGAGCCCGTCTCCCCTCGAGCCAAACAGCCGCAGGTAATGATAGAGCTAATAGGAGCTAACAGGAAGAGAGAGCCACCAAACAGGTACTTTTGAGGACAAACATGACGCTTTTAAGGTCTCGACTAAAAGGTCCAAGAAGCCGTGCAGTGTTCTCTAAATTAGTTGGGAGTTGTGGTACAAAGCTGTGTGCTGTAGGTCTGTAATTTGTCGGGGGTCCTATAGGTTCAAAGAACTTTAATGTACACCACAGCATAAAGAGGACTCTGAACCTGCAAATCTAGACCCGCCATCTTTAAAATAACTCTTACAGTTCTCTAATCAGTGTCACTAAGCTTCATGCTGAGCAGAGGCAACTGCTTGGGGCCCCAAGTCCAGTAAGGGGGGCCCCCCGTGGGCTGAGAAACTTTACACAGCAGTAATTCAAACTGTGCAATGACAGAATAGGAAACCTCCCTAATGTTTAAATGTCACATATATTTTTGATCCCTGCACAGGTTATGTACATTTCTTGTATAAGTCTATTTTTAATTGCACAGTTTAAGTTTGATCATCTAGAGGCTTTAAATCTTTTTTTCAGGTTCATATATATGTATAGGAGGGGGGGGGGCGTCGGTTTTGTGGTTAATTGTGTAACAAATGTTTCATGTCATGTCTTTGTAACCTGCTACTGGATGCTTTGAATTTCCCTCTGGATCAATAATCTATCTATCTATCTATCTATCTATCTAACGGGGCCCCGTCTGACAGCTTCCTGTTAAAAACACGCTGAAGGAAAATGAAGACGAATTTTTCTGTCTGGGAGTGAAAACAGCACAATGTGTGGTTACAGGGGCCCACATTACATTTTTCCCTATAGGGCCCCAGCAGACTCTAGAATCGCCCCTGGTGCTGAGCTGAGGGGTTACGAGACCCCTCAAAGGGGGGTTGAGAGCTGGAATGAAGATCGAGCGGTAAACCATGACATGACATCTGCTCTTGTTGGGTTTGTTATCTGTCATCGTGAAGCTGTTTTAATTCCATTCTACTTTTCGCTGAGTCATGTGTTACAAAAAGCTTTCTTCAGCTGGTGTTAAAACAGCAGCGTTACGAAACGTCACGTCAGAGCCGACAGAGAAACAGAACGAGGCTGAAGATGTTAAATAATGAGACTCGTGTAACCTCAGCGTGCTCGACTGCACGCCGTGGTCACGGTGGTTTCAACCATGACCAGTCGTGTGGGGTTTAATGACAGAGAGCCTGTACACACACACACACACACACACACACACACACACACACACACACACAGCACACATGTACACACACACACACAGTTTATTTTTAACACCCTCGTGTTGTTGAGTTAGAGACATTTATAGACGAAGGTTTCTTTCTCTGTTCGTTGTTATTTTCTGACTTCAAACTGTTTGATATGTTTAAATTAAATCAGGGTGGTGATTAAGTCGAAAGAGGAAACGAGGCCATTACACGGACGACTGCATGAAACACTTTGTGTGTCTTAAAGCTTAAATGAAAAGGTCGACATTTTTAGGACATTAGTTTATAACTCTCAGTATTTATGAAGCCGCCTGTTAGCCTAGCTTAGCACAAACACTGCATACAAAGGAGGACAGCTGGCCGGGCTCTGGATTAACCAAACAAGACACATCTCAGGTAGCAGCGTGGTCGTACTCAAGAGCGGTCTCAAGACCTTTTTGAAGGACGCGTCTCGGAATCAAAAGTATTTTTACTCGTCTTTTCTCCCGATTTTAAATCAAGACCACCATTCACAGGCTATTTTTACTGCATAACTACTGTGCATGCTTGTTGGTCAACATAACCGCTGTGACGAACACATCGCAGAGGGTAGGAAAACAAATCCAACACGCTACACTTCCTGTCGAGAGGTCGTGAGGTGTTCCAGATGGGGCCTTGATCGCGTTCAATATGACTCACTACACAAGATATCGATTATCGTTTATCGCCTGGTTCTGCACGTGTGCGCTCTCTGGATCTTATGGTCACTACAGCTTCTCGAGTCTTTTGAAGAACAAGACAAAAGGTTCAATGTTCCCCCGGTTCCTTTGGCCCAAGTCGCCTAAAGTTTCTAATATTTTGATCATGGCTTTTTTTGTTTCTCGTTTCGTGAATAAGTTATCCTTATTTTGCCTTTTTGTTAAAGTCTTTATATGTGATGTTTTGATCCAGCAGATGTCGCCCTTGAGCTCCAGCATGAAACCAAAACAACCTGCCCTGCATTGTTGTGTTAGCATGCTAATGCTAGCGTTCTTTATTACGCTGGTATCTTCACACTGCATGTAAATTTACCTGAAATGAGCGTGATCTAGAAACACAGTTAAGCAGTGAGTACAGTATGTTATTCTTCTTTTCTCTAGTCCCTCAATTAAACAACTTTTATACACGAGGGGAGGAGTCAGCCGGCCGTCCGGGCGATGTAAACAAAGTGAAGATAGGACTCTGAAAACTCTGAAAACATCACAGACAGTGGGACTCGGGTGTTACACCCATTGTAGACAGTCATGACTCACAGAGTTATTTTCAGAGGATAAACTTGATTTCTACATTTAAGTTTTAAAATCACAAAGACTTTAAAGTAAATACTTTTGGTTTTCTGCAGGTGAGTCGTCCTCTTTTTTTTTTTTTTATAAATCCTAACAGGGGACTGAGGACTTTAAGGACCCGACTGGAACATCAGATTTCATGATCGTCCCATTAAACTCTTAAACAGAGAGCGAAGATTCCTGATTGGTTCACAAACAAAAAAATAAACACAAAAGACTGAGTGAACTAAGACGTGTTTTAAAGTGCGTTGACATCTTCAGCTTTTCCCCTGAAGTTGGTTCTGCATCGTTCTGTTCGTCTTCACGCCGACCTTGCTCTTCGTCGTGTTCAGGACGGCGTTGAACACCCTCGGAGGATCTCTCAACGTGATGCTGTTTTTATCTTGTTTGTTCGGCCTCTGAGCCCCTCTCCTCGGGTTAGGAACCTTGCGTCCTTTGTTTTCTTTCAGCACGTTGGGGGTTTGCAGAGCGTTACTTTTGAAGTCCGCTGTGGCCGTTTGATTGTTTTTCGGTTTCGCTTTGTCTCTCGCCGGCTTGACCACGGCGGTCTTCTTTGGCTGAGCCTTCCCCAAAGAGTTCTTCTTCGTTTGAGGCTTAGCCGCTGCTTTCTTTCTCTTCCACGGTTTCAACTTATTTTTCTGCCTCGCTTTCTTATCCACAGATTTCCATTTTGGCTTCACAGTGGTACTCATTGTCGTCGTCGTC